CATTCAGTCTTCTACTATCATGTAATTTATTATGGTGAACATAATAAATTACATGATAGTGTGTGTACAAAAAAAAAAAACTACTTAAATAAATCCATTAATGACACGGATGGTTTCCAGGAATCCGTCTGATTATTTTCACAGTGATTAAATTGGGAATAAACTTTGACTTGGCTGCCATGCGACACTGTCTTTAATCTCGTGAATGGATCCTTCTAGCAGACAGAGAGCGAGAGAGAGAGAGAGAGAGAGAAGAGGAAGTGAACGAGAAAAATGCTCGGGTCAGAAATACTTTGAGCCCACTGGATGGAGCTGCAACGACACTCGGCAGCAGAGGAACCCACTCTAACCAGAGATTAACCAGGAGATTGAAGCACAAACCCCAAAACAAGTAAAACACAGCCACCGTGCACATATTCCATATCTCTTACTACATCTGTCTGTTAAGTTACTACAGTTAGTGTAGAAGTAAAATAAATCACAATGTGTGTGTGTAACAAATGACTGTGATGGTGGTTGATAAAAGGCAGCAACTGAACATGACCTAAGCAAGTTCAAACTATAACTTAAATAATTCTTAAAATCACATTTTTATTACTTATTTTGAGACAAACTTTTTGGGTTCAGTATTTACAGATGGAGCTGATACTTTCAATAATGACTCCAAATTGATGGGACATTACACTGCAACAGGACAGAAAATATTGTGTTTTTATTAGATAACTTACTTGGATTACAACAACACGAGCTGAAAGCTTGAACTGAAAATAAACTGCTAATGAGTGTAACATAAACGGCTGAACGGAATGTGAACTTAATGCTCCGCTGCTTTTTTTTTTTTGTTTTGTTTTTTCTTTCCACAATTTTCTAAGTTTAAATTCCTGACACTTTCCACCTCCAGTGCACCAAATAAAAAAAAAATAAATAAAAAAAAAAGAAGACAAAGTGTTGACCCAGACTTAAATTGTTAGTTTTAATATAGTTTTGCACTGGTGATGACTCCAGATACATTTATGAGCATTAGCCAACAAAGCAAACCCAAGTCTAGCCCAAACAAACTGGGATGAAAGGCGGCCTTTGATCCGCTGCCGACCGTAGTGACTTCAGCACTTCAGCTCGATTGTTTTCAGCTGAGGTTTCTCTGGGTGGCTTCACTTCAAGCTACAACTGAAAATGCCGGAACAGGATTTACTTGGGATTTAAGGACCACAAAGTTGGTTCACAAAAAAAAAAAAAAAACTCCCAGCTAAACCAAACAGACGGTTATTTTCAGAGTTGTTGCAAGTAGCTCCTCAAGTGATTGTTATATACATGACAAAAGCTGTGACTTCATGTCTTCTCAGGCCTATAAGCTCTGTCGTTTCACACCACGACCAGCTTTATGTTAAGGCCACGACAGCTCACATTCCGTCTGATCATAGTTGTGTGTGACATTTCAAAGAGGATTATGAGAATGAAATGTGATGAAAAACTATTTTCACGTGACCCCTGAGCAATTGACCTCTGATAAGCTAGCGCGGCGTAGCACCGAGACTCAGACTTCTGGGACTCGCATGTTTTGCAGCCGGCGCTTGTACCGACCAGACAGACCGAGAAGTGGACAACAAAAGCCCATCAACAATAAACCCAGATGTAAATTTAATAGCAAGCACAGCTGTCCACTAAATTTCACACACATGCACACATGCACACACACACACACACACACATACACACACACTCCTCTCCTTCTCTATTAATATATTATTGTGTGTTTGTTACTTGCGGCCAACATAAATAGCTTTATGCGCTTGAACATGTTGACAAAGCAGCCATGGCTCATTGGTGGTTGATGGATGGCTGTGTGTGCCTTGCTAATTATTAGTACACATAAAAGGATGCTGTTATTTCCAGACCTGGCCCAGCAGGCCCCAGCCGGAGGGGTCACTGGGTAAATACGGAGCCATCAGTCTGCGACTATATCACTCAATCTTGATGTATGAGCAAAGAGGTACAAATTAAACGCGCAGCGACCTTCTAGGGGGTACTGCACTCAACAGGACGCCATTTGGGCTAATTCCTGTATGGGGTTCAGACAATAGGCCACTATACCACATAGTGTAATTACTTTGTGTACACACATCTGGAATTAAGCTCCCAGAGGAAGCTAATACACTTGAAAAAAAAAAAAGAGAGGCCAACCATTTTAGATGTGCAAAATTTAGTATGTGTGAGTAGAACAAGTGGAGGCAACGTGCAAGTGTTTTTGTGAATGCATGCATGTGTGTGTGTGTGTGTGTGTGTGTGTGTGTGTGTGTGTGGCAGTGGAGATGCTGAATTCAAATGTAGATGCTGATGAACATATGCCAACTCTTGACCTTCTCATGTCATCTGCTCAAAGTTAATCACTGCTGTAGGAACAAGGAGAAAAGATCCTCTATGAGCACTGAGCTCAAAGGAGGGTTGCATGTCGTATATCCAGTATCCCACAAAATCTCTTGTTTTGCCTTCTATTTTCCCTCCACACTTCTCGGCTTCCCACTCCGGTTACAGCCATCTTGCTTCTATTTGACGGCGCTGCAGCCCCACTTTCCATACAAATACTATCTGTGTCATTTTGACAAGCACAGGCCGAGAGCTGCACCCTGCAGGAGGCTCCAGATTCGGGTTGCATCTGGATTTTATAGCAGCTCAATTTTCTCTGCTGGTGTGCGGCTCATATTGGATGTGATGAGCTGGGGCCGGCTAACATGGAGTCTGCGAGAATGTCAACTCTAGACAGATATTGATATTGATCCACAGGTTGAGACAGTTGCTGAGCATTGGCCACAACACGATGTGAGGCGCGGAGAGAGCACGAGTCTGCATCAGGACAAAAACACTGAAGACGTTAGGGACGGGGATTAGTTCTGGACAGTTGTTATTATATTGAAAGTGTGGTTAGTTGTGTCTTTCCAAGTCATTTACGAGGATGTTCGTCTTGTTTGTGTACACAGCCGTCCTTACTCTGTGCGTGAAGCTCAACTTTCCTTCTGCAGCTTAACAAGTAAAAGTGTTTTAAAACTTGAGTACAAATATTTATAACTTTATTGATAGTTTACTTGTACAAGATGTACATTCATATTTTGTGAATCAAAAGGGGAAAAACAAACTGTACGATGATTCATGTTTAGGCATGCTTGCATATGAAATGATAATCATTTTAATGGGTACAACAAATTCCATGGGGTATTACTCAATTCAACCATCCCTGAAATGTTTGTAAACTCGGACACGCTACATTTTTTTTTTTTTTTTTTTTAGGCAAACAATGCACTACAGCCACACCTCCTAATTCAAATTCAACACTTAAAAAAAACATACAAAAATAAATGCAAAGCCATGTAAAAATGTACACTTGTAGTTCAACTATTTCATCTTTCATAAACTTTTAGACAAAATAATAAATAAAACACCCATATGTTTAATTTAAAATGGAGACATAGATAAACAATTCTAAATGGAGGTCTGTTAACAGAGAAAAATGTTGTTTGGAGACTGTTAGAGGTACGTAGATCTGAAACGCATCTACATGTATATCGCAGCTCTGACAGCAGTGTTGAGAAGGTTGTCAAAATAATCTCTGAATTCCAAAACAATCCAAATGTTGTGTTTGGTCTGGAAGGAGTTTATAAATTACAGTCTGAATTATTGGGAAATTAATGATGAAATGTGACATATAACATGCAGAATTAAGATAATCACATTGTAAACAACTGCTTGGTTTCGGATTACAATGTTGATTTGTTGATTTCAATATGAACATTTTTCCAAAAATCCAAGAGTAAATGGATTTTCTCTAGTGTTAGAAGAGTAGCGAAGAGAGTTTCTTTTTTTAATTATTATTATTTCCCTAATTTCTGCAGCTTCCAAAAAATGTGCTCATGTCTTTCTCAACAAGTGACAACTGTACCTGATGTATACAAAACTGCTCGGATACATAGGAGGTGAGGTGGGATATGGCACCTGGTTTTGAGTGACTTTTCTTGAACTCAACAAAATGTACACTGCTGTAGAAAAACTGGCGTGTTTGGCAAAGAAATTCAACACTCCAACAGTGCATGGAAAACAACAGAAAATCATTGGGTCTCTTTATGGTTGAGGATTAACTGCTAGCTGTTTTTACTTTTTTGCTATTTACAGTATTGCACTTAAACTGCACACCATTGCATTTCAGTTTGACTGATGCTTTCTTCATATTTTCAGAATTACAAAGAAAAAAGAAAGAAAAAAAAAGAAAAAGAAAATCGCATTTATACCCTTTAGCCAAGATAATGTCCTTTTTGCTGACCACATGACGATATCAAATCCCCCTCCCCCTTTAATTAGTAAAGTAGTATCTGCTTGTAGTGCCATTTGTAAACACCCACATACAAGACCTGAAGTGCAAAGGCTATCTTCACTTCTTAACCCAGGATACAACACAATAAACAGAAAGAAATAAAGACAGAGGGAGCACGCCGTGAGGAGAAATGCAAACCAAATCTCGCCGACACATGCCCAGCAACACAGAATCACGTCTCTTCGCTCTGCAGCAAAGAAAACAGGAGTTGTTGCTTTTGTTATAGCACAAGTCCATAAGAAGAAGGATATCAAACCGTAATGGAGACCTTTTCACTTTGTAGGTGTAGGAGGGGGGAGGGTGTGGAGGGGGGGTTGTGGGCATGTTGAATGGCAGTGTTAAAAACAGTTGTTGAGCGTTTGTGTCAGGTGTGGATGGAGGCCAGTCCCAGAACGGTCCTCCATTAGAGCTCATGCACTTGGCAGCAGCAGGGAACACAGTGGTTGGAGACAAATATGGCCTTTTTTTGTTTGTTTTTTTAAATGTTTTTCTTTTTTCTTCGTTTTTGTAGTGAGGGGGTCGGGGTCGGGGGTGGGGGGGTGGTGGGGGGGTTGTAAAGGTGAGAGCCGTTCCAATGCTTCGGTGAGGTGGTGTGTGAGTCTGTTTTCCCCCATGCTCAACCCTCTGCATTGTCAACATGGCGGCAGCCAGCGTCAGCGAGGCTCTGCTTTTGGCCCTGCTGCTGCCTGCCAGTTTGCTTTGTTCTAACGTCTTCTGGTCTGACGGGCCCCGGCCTGGCCCTCAGACAGACATCCACATGTGTTTGTACGGTCCTTGGGATGTGATCTGTGCCTGGAGTGGACTGAGCCACTGGCCCCGCAGAAGTCCTGCCTGTTGGGCGAAAAGTAAAAGGTGATTTCATTGGTATTTAATTACCGTTCTCTACAAGTGGTTTGTTTTGGCAGCTGGTTTTGTGACAATTTTCTCGCTCCCTCCTTCTTTTTATTTTCTTCCTCCACTGTTCTCCCCCTTTCTCTCTCACACACACTCTCTCTCCCCCCTCTCTGTATGTGTTCCTCTCTTTCATTCTCACTCAGTGTTTTTGTTTAGTTTAGTTTTAGCTGTGAGTGTCACGGCCCTTTCACAGGCTCAGTCTTGTGTGAGAGGCGATTATGGGCATCAGGCGAGCGGAGGGGCAGCCCGGTGGGGTCAGAGTCCCAGAGCCTCGGTGTGTTTTCTTGCCTTGAGTCGCAGGTCAGCGATGCTCGAGTTCTTGCTGTTGCTTTTGGCAGCTGCCGCCACTGCCGCCGCCGCAGAGGCCGAGTCGGCGAGCGATGCGATTGGTAGTCCGAAGGGAGGGGGCGGGAACATCAGGTAGGGAGCGTGAGCAGCCAGGTGAGGGTGTAGGTGAGGGTGGGAGTGGGTGACCCCGTCCAACTGGAGCTGAGCTTGGACCTGCAGAACAGCAAAATATAAAGTCGGTCAATGGCGGCGCCTCAGGCCGTGTGTGTGTATGTGTGTGTGTGTGTGTGTGTGTGTGTGTGTGTTTGAAGAGGGTTGAGGATTCAGGTTTCACAGTCTGACACTATTAAATTCCCCCTCAGATTTTACCCCCTCAAAGCTGTTGCTTACAGTGTGTTTTCTAAGAAAATAGTTAAGGGCTGCACTCTCCGCTTTAGCCCTTTTTTCATGTCAGCTATTCTAAAAGTTAATGAATCATACATTGCTCTCAGACACCACATCCAATTTAATCGTCTAGAATCAAAGTCTTTCTAGGACCCAGAACAGATTTGTTTAATTCAGACTGAGGACTCCGTTATACCCTTGGAAATATGCAGTCTTGTTATCCTGATTATGTATTCAATTGCATAAATAAACAATTTTGCACTAAAAAGATATTCACATATTTGGTGTTATAAATATTTATCCAGACATATTCCTGAGTCAAGGGAAAAAAGAAACCATAAGGAGCATAGAATATCAGTTTTCACATTCTTGGCAATTATTTTATAAGAAGTAGGTGAAAATTAAGCATCCGCTTACTTCAGAAGGAGAGAGCTGAGCCTGTTGCCATTTCTCATGTGTTTCAAACACCAGAGGAAGAAGTGGGGAAAACTCAAGTATTTCATGCTTTCTTCTCCAACCAAAATAGAATGATATAAAGTCAAAGTTTTAACTTGACTAAATATTATTTTTTCACTTTGCTCCCTTTTATTTTGGCCTAAAAATACTGAAAATGACTTAAGCTGAAGTTGTTAAATGAAAGGGAAAATTAAATTGAACCACAAATGTATAGTTGCTCAGCAGCAGCGCTCGCAGCGGCATCCAAACAAAACCTCCTGCAAAACAGCATCTCCACATATCTCATTCACCAACAGTCAGGTAACAAACTGCAGCTGTGGCCGATAATCTCCAGACTCATGGTGGAGTGACACCTGATAGAAAATGCAGAAGCACTGACGGAAAAACCAAAGTCAACTTGTTGAAAGTTGATTTTTTTTTTTTTTTTGGTGGAGCAATCTTGTTTTTTGGGGGGAGGGGGGGAGGACAGAAACGAATCCAACCCCGACAAAACAGGTGGTGAAGGTTAGATGTGTGTGTTAACTGTTATATCTTCATACACACATGCATGTAAGTTGGTCGCACACATACACGCTCACAGCTTGCAAAGTCTTTTCTTTTCAAAAGATTATTTTGGCAGTTTTTCTTTACTTGCTGTTGAATACTGAAGAAGGATGGGAGGGAGTCACATGACATGAAGGTTCCAACCCTCAGACCTCGCAATTTCAACTCATGACCTTCCCCAACCCATCGACAAGCCATTCACTTGTTTTATATGCATGTGCTGCATTGTAAAAAAAAAAAAAAAAAAAAAAAAAAAAATCAGTGCAGCCTGCGTGTGCCTGTTTCAACCTTTTACAGTGAGCCTCTCTCAGTATGCAGGCCTCAAGCCCCCATCCCTGCCAGTGCAGCTCAACGCCAATATCCATCAGAGCCCACTCCATTCCCCGCTTTCATCATCTCTTTTATGTGCCGCACTGTTGGCTTAATTAGGCCGCTGCTTTTCACGAGGGTCAAGCAGACAACACAGCAGCCAGGACACAAAAGCAGATAGCAGCAGATCAAATGTCTGTCCACCTCTCCTCTCCCCGTGCAAGCCCGACCCTCTCCACACAGCCAGGAGGTGAAAGGTGCACTGAGGTCTTAGCTGCTCCCTCCCCCTCCAACACACACACACACACACACACACACAGACACTGTCTCTCATCACTTGCATCTAATAGCTGCACATGGCCTATAGATTCATGTGGGTGTACAAATATAGAAGGTCTACTCTGACTCTGAGAAACACACACACACACATACACACACACACACACACACACACACACGTAGCTCCATTACAGATTCCTCAGTCCTCACCCATGCATCACAAGATGCTGAGTAATCATCTTTTTCTGCTGCAACTTCGTCTGCATTTTTAACTTTTCTACATTTAATTCAGGCTGAGTTCCTGATCCATCCCTGATTGAATGTTTCCAATTTTTTGAAGCTTCGTCAGCTCCAGCTAAGAGGAGAACGTGGCCTACCTGTTGGAAGGGCATCCGGAGGGCACCCATATTGACATAGGGTGCTACTCTGCATGCGTCGAGGTGACTGCCACTGCCCAGAATAACACCTGGAGTGAAGGGAAAGATGTCTGTCAGACAGCCAGACAGTTGTTGTTATGTGAGATGAGGAGGTCACAGTTTTTTTTTCCACATGCAGTTAAAAATGGTTGAACAGTGTCAAATAGTAAAATGAAAATAACCCAGAAGAAAAGGGAAAATAAAAATAAGATCATTCATAAAGGTTAAAAGAAGTGACAATTACCTTTGTGCATCTGGTTTTCTTGTTTTCGACATTTTGCTCTTCTGTTCTGAAACCAAACCTATAATTGGAAAAGCAAATTATCTATTAGACAAATACTTAAACTAGTACTGAATCCAGTTTTTAACAAAACTGTTTTTATACATATATCAGATGTTATTTTAGTAGTATTATAATTTGTGGAAAGGCCACTTATTTATAGCCAATAAAGGAAAAATTACAGAGCTTACATCTGAGCAAATGAAATCTTATTTGTATAAACATTAACTTTAAATTATAATAATAAAAATAAAGAAACATTTGTGGGATATAAATATGATTTATGCAGGTTAGAAAAATAAACCACAGGATATTAGATAGGCAATGAAACAAAACCACAAGCTCAGTAAAAACTTATTATTGAGCTTCATAGTAAATTCTTACAGGAGCACAACAAAATGACTATAAACTCAGCTCTGAGTGAGACACCACAATCTCACAGAGCGCGTGGAAACACTGTAAGAGCAGAATGATGATATTTTTAAAATGAAAATTATCCCTCGCGAACCACCTTCCAGTTTGCTGAGTGTCTTCTGAAGCTGCAGGCTACGGCCTATTGTTAATCATCATCAACCTAATTTGCCTCGGTGAATAACATTATCTCCCCTCCCCTTCGACCCCGCAGTGATTATCATTTACAGACGCGAAATTAGCGACCGGTCGCGGACCACAAAGGGCGCAGACTGATGATGATGGTGGTGGTGGTGGTGATGATGATGATGATGATGATGATGATGATGATGGTGGTGGTGACTCGAGGTGCCGCGAAGCCATTTTAAGTTGCGTGGAGCGATGTTCAACATTGTGTCGATGAGACTACAACAACAGCACGGTCAATAAAGTGACTGAGACAACTGAGGTGCAAATAAAAATCCATTATTCTGACTTTGAAAAATTGATCTTAAAAATATAATAGGAATAAAATTCAAAATTAATGCAGCAGAGACGTCGAATAATTTCTACCAATTAAATTACATTATCATAATTATTATTATTATTATTATCATAATTATTATTATCATCATCATTATTAAATAAGGGTACACACTGTAAATTCTCGTGCATGTTTAGGTGGTGAGTTATGTGCTGCACAGCGGTACATGATGGTAGTAAAGGTGTTTATGAAAATCCCAGGTGATTTTGCATAGACGCACAGTAATCCCTCAGATAAATCAAGGCTAATATTAGACGGGCCCGAGATCAATTCCAATTACGTGCCAGTATGTTAAGCAAAGTGAACTACACTGGTTCAGACAGTTATTTCTTCATTAAGGGCCACTCAATGATGCGCTTCACAAATACCCTAATCTCATTTCCTTTTTGATTTTTTATTAGAGACAGTGAATAATGACATTTAATTTAGCAGCGCGCCAGAAACCCAAAGATATTAGTCCTAACTGAATTACTGCCTGCTCCTCACCAAGCTCTCATAACTTTCAATTAGATTCATTGACAGCTGCTCGGAGCGCAGGTTCACAGCCTGCAACAGCAACTGCTGCAATTCACTCTCACTAAATCTGGAGGAGACGCGTCCCTGAAAGAGCTTTAAAAAAAAAAAAAAAAAAAAAGGGGGGATTTTCAAAAGCTTTATTTTTGCAAGAAGAGACAACCTACGGCTTCTGTGCGTTCACACTCATTGTGATCACAGAAAACACACAGGCAGGTTTTATAGCCCAAGTCTTTATCAACCGCATTTACACCATGAATTATTTTAATTCACACGCTATACACTTTATTAGTGATAACTGCAGTGTTATCCTGAATTATACTGTCAACCGAGCCCGAGCATGTTTAGCTCAGAATGGTGGTCGATAGGCTTATAAAGCTCTATGATGGGTTTTATTCATCCGATTAGAAAAGCTGAACAGCAGCAGAGTTGGGCCAGAATTGAGTTATTTCTAATCTGTTTTTATGGGGACACTACATCAAGCCTATGGCAGATATTACAAAGAAAATGAGGAGGGATACGAGTTGACATAAGAGCGCGTCCCCTGAAGCAGCCATTCAGGCTCTTCATTCATTTTAATCATTGCTTGGGATTTTTTTTCCTCCCCCCCCCACCCCCAAAGAGTGCTCGGATCGCAGGAGCAGGCTGAAGGCTGAAGGCTGAGGGCCTACTGATGGAGGCTCAGTAGGTTGTTACATCCCGGCTGATTTACAGCAGTTTACACTTGTTTGATATCACTGACTGATACCAAGCCACTGCTTATACAAATACAGCCTTCCTTCTTTTAAATTTTACTCATTTTAACGAGACTTACTTGTTAATTGCACCACAGAAGACACACGCTGGACAAATATGGTTAAATATTCAGTCTAAATCTGAATTAATTTTGGTCCTGTACTGACAACAAATCCCAAAAATATCCAGAGTAATCGTTCAGTCAGTGTTTCTGCAGACTTAACAAATGTCGGAGTAAAACTGCAAACCCCTACAGAAATATGACGACAACACAAGGAGTAAAAAATCATAAATCGCAATAAGCTCACTATGAAGGAGCACAGACACTCTATAAATAACCCCCACAGGAATAGTAAAGAAATATGTCAGACTCGGAGCTTTGTCACGACAGAGGCTGCATCATTTATCTCTGGGGTTTGTAAGGTCAACCTGCCTGTGGACTAATGAGCTCTAAGCATGTTGTTTTTCATTTCTTTTTTCCCTTTTCTCTTCTTTTTTTTTTTTTGCATTTTGCAGGACAGGCGATGATCTATTTATATCACGAGAGAAAAAGCTACACTTTTTGGCCTGACTTAAACATGACATGTTGCTCACGCAGTAATTCGCTTGTTTTGTTTTTTTACAAGCTGGACACATGATCAACATGAGGTCAAACTGTAAAGTGCATTATTGAAAAAAAAAGAATAGAAAAAGGTGGGGGGAAATAACTGCATCACTATAAACATTCCCCAGTAGTTTTTAACAGTTTTCTCTAGTGTTAACTGTTTTTATAAGGGAGTCAGTTTGAGATGAGAGCATGGGGTCTATTTTATGTTGCGCAATATTTCAGATTTTCTCTTAATTGTCTTGAATTATGGCAGGGTTTGGCAGTGGCACGAGGTCATTAACACAACTCCCACACAGCGAAGTGATGCCACAGAACACTTGACTCAAATCATAAAAGTGCTATATTATCCTGTACATTATCTTACAAAGATCCTAAATCCTTCAAAACACCAGGGACGCTTTCACCGCCGGAGGAGGACACTGTAAACAGACACACTGCAGAAACAATGTTGGGTGGGGGGGTGGGGGGGGGCATCGTTTCTTGTTTGTTGCTCACGCAGCAGCCGCTCTGCGCCAGACAGATGAGCGTTTAGAGACGGAGCAGGAGGGAGATCCTCACCTGCACTCTGGCCTCGGACAGTCCAAGCCGCTGACTCAGCTCCTCTCTCATGAAGGCGTCCGGGTAGTGCGTCTCGTCGAAGAGCCGCTCCAGCTCGTTCAGCTGCTCCAAGGTGAAGTTAGTGCGACTCCTCCGCTGCTTCAGTTTGCCCTGTGCATCCTCGTCCTCCGACTTCACGTCCTCCTTTTTCTCCTTGCACTCGTATATCCCTGTTAAATGGCCCACGGTTTGGGGTGGGGGGGGCAGAGAGAAGATGCGTTTAAATTCTGGACATTTCCGCTTCCTCAAGGAGACATGCACACATTATCGGCCTCGCTGCGTCTCCCTATCCCCACACGCATACACCCCACATGTACATTAATGTGCCCCCCATAGTATACATGGGCCCTAACATGCGGCCTTAGGCCTGGCAATTTGGCAGCAACACACACACACTCCACACTCCACACACACACACACACACACACAACGTATTTCTTCAAGAGACAGGCCTGTGGCTGCATTTCCAGCCTCCATAAGTCAGTGTGCAACGTCAGTGTCGTTATAAAAGTAAATCAGTCAATTCATGCCATGGAAGCCTAATAAGGCTATAAGCGATTTAAAGAGCAGAGAATTAAGCCCCGACTGAACGGAGAAGATTTAGGTCTAATTACTCGCCTCCGTAAAAGAGACTGGAGGTTATTTCAGGCTATAAATAAAAAATGTAAAGTCTAACATTTTCTACTTACAGAAACCTTATGATTTCCTTTTTTTCCACTAAAACCATACATGTCTATATTTCACACAGTGCAATACGCTGCAAGGCTGTCAGCATATTGGCTATTCTATTTTTATTAGGCAATACAGCATTATTAGTAGCTGTTATTATTAGTAACAGACTTGACAACTGCTGCAATTACTGGGCCTGTTCACTCGCATTTTATTGTTTGTAGTTTGCTGACGTGAAAATATGTTTTTTTTTGCCCCCACAACTGAAAAGCATTTGATTTTATATGAAAACCATGATCACATCAACACACACACAAGCAGTCTTACAGTCTATCCGCTGGGTTTAATGAGAAATATGAGGCAGAATAATACAGAATAGAACTGACCCTTTTTTTGCTGCTGCTACAGGATAAATATAGAAACAAATTACTCACTAAATGTCTAAAAGTCTTCCCACTGCACTTTCTGTTAGCTGGGTGAGAGCAGGCCTGTGCTGCTGTTTGTCTGCACTTTCTAACCAAATAATGATTTCTTAAAAGGGAATTTCTATTTGATGAGCGTGTTTGGCCGCAGATTTTTTTTAATTCACAAGAATTTAACAACTGAAATTTGATTTTTTTGTGACTTCCGGGTGCACAATCTTAGAGAATAACAATACTACATGCTATAGCTTTAAATAACACCCTTCATCAGAATAGTATTGCAGTTAAACTGTTAAATAATGGCAAATAAATAGAAAATGTTCTGCAGAATTCATATAATACTGCAACAGATAAAAATTAAATAAAGTCCAGTGGTAAATGTTGTCATACACTTTATAATGTATCCTCTAGGATTGTAATTATTTCTTGTTGGCACAAAATCTTAAAGTGTCATTAAAATAAGGTTAAACTTATTCTATTGTAAAAAAAATTACAAGAAATGTTTCTGAATGTCTGAAAACAATCATCAAATAGTTAAAACAACGGTCAGACTATGGGCCCGCCTCCTGCTTTGTAAAATAATCATTATAATAACAGAATAATGTGCTAACTTTGACTATCTGCTTGAAGTGGAGGCGCAACGCTGCGTAAATTAAACTCTTTTTACGCGTGGATTCGTTTTTTAAATAATAAATAAATAAATAAAAACGTCGCTGCCGATACAACACATCTGAACTTGAGACATTCCCCCGACACAATACGGAGCATTTCTTACAATAAAAATTTTTTTTTTAAAAAAACCTTACCCTCTGTCGCCCTCGAAACATTAAAGTCCTTCAGTTTCTCCTTTTCCAGCTCGACATGGTCCTTGAACAGATGCACCGGGCAGTGGTTGCTCTCCGTTATGTCCTGCAGGTTTGTCTCCGGGCTGCCCAGCTCCCTCGCCCTTGTCAAGCCGCTCTCCAAAACTTCCCGGTACGTGATACTCTCTTTGCTGCTCTCCTTGGTTTTCTGATCGAAAGATTTCGACACGAATGCCGTAAGTTCTTCCATGGTCGGCTCTGTCGCTCAGTAGTGGTCCTGGTCAGGGAAATCCACCGCGAATTGTCAGTAATGTACCTTACCGTCTCTATTACACCAGTACTGCTCACGGATACGCTCTTTTTTGGAGGCTGGCAGCAGCGATAGATAGAAGGGGTGGAGAGGAGGTGAGATCACTCCTGCTGTTGTGACTGTGTATTTGAGAGCACACTATTTATACACGGCCACCTCAGCCCAGCCCCCCCACCCCCTCTTCTCTCCGATCTCTGTGTCTTGAGCAATTACAGGCCGGCTCGACTTTGCAGAATTCAACTTTCAGCAGCTTTTTTTTTTTTTTCTCCCCCTTCTTCCACAAATCAATGATGGAGCTGATGGAGGCGGTTAATTGAATTACGGGGTCATTAAAATGCCTACGGTGGCTCAGTCCTGCCAGGAGGCTGTATATGGCTGTTATGTCTAATTAATTCGGCGAAAATTTAATTAACGCGATTAGGAGATACAAATGCTGCGTTTGTGGGATCGTACCTTGATTTTTGTTTTTTGTTTTTTTGTTTTTTTTTGAGTGTTTGTTGAATTGACAAATATGTTTGAAAGTTAAACTGTGCAGAACTCGGTTCATAAGCCACCAATACAGTCTGTGGTGTATCAGCTGATTGGACTTATAGTTCTCTAATGTGAGGTAACCTCACGGTTAAAAAGGTTCAGCCACATCAAGTCAGTTTAGAAGAGGTTAATAATTTTTTTTTTTTTTAAATAGATGGAGTTGCTCAATCCTAAATATTTTTGAAACATCACAACAGTTACGCTCAGTTAATATCAGGAATTGAAAATATATTTGGCCACAAACTTTTATTTTACACTAATTTTATTGCAGAAAATTTGTAATTTTCTCAACCATCTGTAAACGTGTATAATCACATGTCTGTTGGTGCAAACTAGAAATCATCAACACTCAACAGCAACAAATGTATAATCGTCGGATGATGTTGTAATTAATATTTGGCTGTTGAATGAATACGGGTCCCTTTTGAGTATTCACTTGTAATCCTTTGTGGTTTATGGTTACTAATATGGGCTAGAAATCAATAGATATCAGCAGTGAAAAAATGTTCCCTCTATTTACAAGATTTTCATGGGAATAAGTGAGCCCATAATGGTTTAACGTTATCTAAGTCGTTCATCAGTCCAGCACACAAACACAAAAGGCCGGGAGAGGAGTGTGATCCCCTGGGTCTGCCGCCCTGAGCGGCCCGCCACTGTGAAAGTCTCATATCTCAGCTCTCTAATGACTCGGTTTGATGTCTCTCCATTTATCAGTGAGCTCGCTTCACATCACTGCGGCTGACGCACACGTCGAGGTCTCTCCCTAGTGCCATGAACTGCGCCTTTTGTTGTTAATAGACCTAAATCCTCTTTAAGACGCAAATCTGCGCTCCCAGTCGTGTGCCTCGATATCATCCCACAATAAAGTGGCGTTTACAAAAGGCGCTCGTGTGTGTAACGAAATAATCCACCAACAGGGGCTTCCTAAAAAATACAATTTAAAGGCAAAAAGTTACTTTTACGCAGGGCTTCTTCATGTGCCATCAAACTTCTAGGATCTAAGAGATAGATTATTTGTATATGTATTTGTTCAGTGGTCATTTAAATACGTAATTTAAAACATTATATGAGAGTAGGCTACATGCACATACACAGAAAAATCATAATCTGAAATTTTCGACCAGTTGTTTTTATATTTAAGATTTTTTTTTTAAAGCATTGCTTTGTATTTTGAATGGTAACCTCATTTATTATTCCTCAACAAAATATTCGTCCAGAATAATGAAGGAAAACATATGGCCAGAAGGCCTATAGGCAGTGCATGTTTAATATGAATGACGAACACAGTGCCCACTTAAAATATGACAATATAAAGCACCGTGTATCTTTTTAATTTTTTTGTTGTACCACATTTTATTTTATATAGTCTACATCATTTTCTTTCAGCACATTGTTAAACAGCTGCAACAGTGGTAGATCTTACAGTTTTATTAAGATTTAAAAAAAAAAAAAAATTCTTGCATGTAATCTAATTGACTTGAGGCATGTGGTGTCCAATCAGCAGCAGCCTGGAGGAATATCAGAAGAAATCCAGGAGGGATGCTCCTTACGCACCGACGCTGGTGTCGCTACAGTTTAGTGGCCAAAAACTCTTAAAGGGGCCTCAATCATATTTTCACTTTCCGTTCATTCCCCGGGAACCCAACACCCCGCCTCTCCTGCTGCACGTGCGCCTCCCGAAAAAAAGCATGGCATGTTATTTTTTTTCAATCATTCAGTAATTTATTTATTTTTTAACATCATTACTGTTGTTATTCTATCCAATGTGACGGACCACAGGACAGACAAGCGACAAAGTGTGCGGTAGTGACTCCACAGACCTCCTTTAAAGTTAAAATAAAAAAATAAAATAAAAATTAAAGCAATGATAGAAGAAGTACTACAATTGAATTATGATAATAACCATTATAATAATAATAAAAATTATTATTATCATTATTATTATTATTATTGTTCAGAATAATACAATTTATTTTATGTAATTTTGGATTTACTTTACATAGTTTATTTGAATATAGTCATGAAAGTGTAAATTGAATTATGAAACAGCAGCTTATATATTCCCTACAAAAATCAGGGCAGACAATTTAAATGTCCATCTTTATTCATCGCTATTGATCATCAGCTTTAATTATTGTGGTCCCAGTCTAAATTTTCCCCTTATAATGTTAATATCACTATATATTCATATTGAGGTCGATTGTACAGTGATTTCGATCAGTATCTTTAAGTGATACATTTAATTAATGAAACAGCTAAGACATATAACTACCAGAACTTGAAGATAAACTATTCATTAGTTTATTCTTTATCACTTTATTTAATGTGTTAAAAAAAAATACTGAGTGCTAAAAATTCCACAAGGCTGCAGGTGTTTTCTGTTTTCTACACCTTCCTTTGTAGGAACAAGTAAAGTATATTCTTTAGTGAGTTGCAGGAGGTGACAGGTACTGTCTTTTACTGTCCACAAACCTACTCATGTCCTGATCGTCCATTTACTGCTAATTAGGGAGCTGAGGAATTCCTTCTCTACCTGCTTGTGATGGCTCTGGAACATTATCAAGACATCAGCAGACTTAAATGAGTCTGTGCTGCCTGGATGAGAGCAGAGACAGAGAGAGAGAGAGAGAAAGAGGGAGGGAGAACGAAGGGGAGGGAGAAAGAGAGTGTGGTAGAGAGAGAGAGAGAGAGAAAGTGGGGGACATACTATAGCACTGTAAAGCAATGAGCAAGGGTTGTGTTGCCCTCCCTGAGTACCGGTCACAATTTACACTTTTGGGTAGTAGGATGTTAAATACAAGAATTGAATTGCATTAGAGCTGTGTAGCCTGTGTGAGGGTTTGAACCCCTCTGGTGCTGCTAGACGGATCCTAAATGCAGGTCTCAGCTCCTGGAAGAGGGCCAAGATTTTTTTTTTTCCCTCACTTATAAAGGAAAGTCATTAACAAAATCATTGACTTACTCAAAATTTCAGAATTAAAAAAAAAAACATGCTGTGTACCAAATTACGTTTGTGTGTAAAAAAAGAGACAGAAAGATGATAAAATATGTTTCTACATGCACCAGTCGTCATCTTTCTGCTCCACACTTCAGTGAAATCATAATATATGACAGATGTGATTGTCTAAATGTTATACCTGCCCCCGAGAGAGTAGAGTGACTTTTGAAAATTTTACTTACAAAAAGCAACTACTGCACCTCTCGCTTCTAATATCATTTCCATGACCATAAAGCTTCTTTTAGAGCAGCGCTTATCTCCAAATATCATCATCTCATTCTGTAGGGACAGGTGAGCAGCAAAAAAAAAAAAAAAAAAAAAAATGTAATAAAGTGGTACACTTGAATCTGATTCAGCATTGTGGAGATGCTGTACAGATGTGGTATTGTGCAGAAACAGAAAATTGGATTCTTCCCCTGGTGCGAAAAAATTTAAAGCTTATGATCGTGAGGAAAGAGGAGGATTTTAACATGCAGTCACGTTAATGGCAGCGATTGTGTGTTTGTTTGTTGAGTCCTCTGGCCCGTCTGCGGGGTGCAGGGACCTCTTGGTTGCTACATTGTCTGGTGCCTTCATTTAGGTCCTTTTCCAGAGCTGCAGTGGTCCACGGAGACTACAGGCTGCTCTGTGTTCAAAAGCCTTGTCTGCCATCTAAATGAGGCTTTCGGGGCAAAAAAATAAAAATAAAGAAAGGGGGGAAAAAAAAAAAATCAACATGAAAATACCACAATGTGCTGAACATTAGCTCGCACTCGACTGGGATGTTTTGGGAATATGTTGGTTCTCCTTTTTGGATTGTTATTTTTCCCTGTGTATTCTCTAACTGCTATCTACCCACAGGGCACCGGGGCCTCTTGTTGGGGAAAAGAAGGCATGAAATTGACATTATACCCTTAAATGCAGTGCAGATTTGTAGGGAAAACACAGTAATCCACTGACAATGCTTGAAAATCAAACACATTCTCCTTCTCTCTCTCTTTCTCTCTCTCTCCCTCTCTCTCTCGCTAACAAGCTACAGTTTGCTCTTCAGGTTAAATCTACTCATTAATTACTGGCATCTCCTTAAAATCGTTTTTCCTTTCATTTATGCCAACAAAATGAGAGTATTTTCCTCAAGTCCCTGTAAAGATACTGTTGTTCTTATGGTCAAATACTCCGGGGAAATGCAACAATTTATACAAATCAATAGCGTTCAAATAATTCATGACTGATCACATGGTGTTTTAGCTCCTTATTTGCAGTAGAAAACCATGTTTTGTTTGGCTCCCAGAGGGCAACATGAAAGACCCAGGGAGAGGCGGGGAGAATTGGGAATGGAACTGGAGAGAGTGCATGACGATAATAGGAGGACATTGATCATTTGGTGCAGAAGAAGACAACTGAACCTGTGAGTCAAGGCTAACAAGACGTATCACTTATACATTATTTAGATGTGTCTGGGCTTCTCGTGTACATTTTGTTACATCAGGTTTGCATCATC